TTGAGGTGCTTGAGAACACCTTGAGATTAGATGAAAGGCTCAACTTATAATTATGAGCTAAATACTAATTTAAAAACCGGCAATGGGGTGTTTTTATTTTGGTTAAACGAGAATTATACTAAATCTGAGCTGACAAAAATCAGCTGATCTAATTTGGAACAGTCTTCCTATTAATAATAATAAGCCCATGGGTACCCACGGGTACTCGCGGGCTTTGTGGGCCGGGCCAGGGCATCAAGTTTTGAGCCCTAGGGTAGGGTAAGGGCTCAGAAGTCAAGCCCTTACACAGACGGGTAGGGCTAGGGTATTGCCATTACCCGGCCCTACCCGGCCCATGCGGAGGCCTACCTGCAACGCTAGTTGGTAATGTTCTATGAATTTATAAGGTACAGGGAAAGTTATCCATATTGCAAAACTAACTAGTTATTTTTTATTTATTTAATTCCGTATCAAAAAAATTTCGTTAAGGTGTCTTCAATAAACATATGATGTAATTATGATGACTTATTGTTTCTGCAATAGTAATACAATACTAAAATAAATGTTTGGTTTATCTATATAGGACTTTTATTTAATCATGTTTATTACTGTAAAATTGTTTAGCAAAGATAAAATTAGCTAATCAAATAATGAGGAAATACGGCATTAACAGTTGAGGCATTGCGTTACGGTTTACGACTTTTTAACGCCGTAATTCAGTAAATATTGGTGCAATTGATATCTGTCCATCACCAATAATGATAGTATTTCCATTCATCTCCTATATCACTTTAACCAAACGTTTCTGCAATTAATGGTTATATATGCCATTAATACTAATCTTTGGATTCTTTCTTTAAACCCACCAGAAACGGCATGTATTTACTTCCTACATCATAAGTGATCAGCATCTTTTCAAACCAATACAAGAATATATATATGAAAGATATTCTAGTGGTTATATACATAAAAATATAAATCATAATAATAATATAATAGAATATGAATATAAATAAAATAATACATAAGATTTAAAATTATTACTTGTTAAGCAAATTCATAAACGCTTTAAAATAATCTTTAAAATTCCTAGGAAATTCAACTCTATTTGAATCAATCTCACGATTCATCTTCTTTAATACAATAGACCATTCTTTAATTAATTGTTTAGAATCTGTTTGTCTTACATTCTTTTTAATGAAGTTCGGATAATTATTTGAATCATTAACAATTAGTGGTAAAAGCTGAATAGCATCTCCATCTTCAACTATTAGTAGTGGGAATGGAAAAGTAATTGGAAGATTGTACAATTCAGGTAAATAACCTTCAAATAATGGACCAAGTATTTCAGTCTCTGATGCATGACAAATTAATTCCATATAAGTGGGTAGGAAGAAATTCCCTGTATTGCAATAAATGTTGTAGATGTTACATGCTATTTCAATTTCGCATTGGATTGTTCTACTAAATGTCATATTTGAATTTTGACGTCTGATGTCGATACTGATTCTTGTTTGTAAAATGTCATTAAAGCAAAGAGATGTTATAGGTGAATCGACTTTAAATGTCATGAGAGCCCAATGATAATAAGTAGAAGATAGAGTAAGAAATTTTATGGAAGAAGTGTATGTTTCAAGTTTTTCATAATCAACTAAATAATTATCCAATCCATAAAATTTCATTGCGCTTAAGAATAATTGCTCTTGATTTTCATTCATTTTGCAGTATAAGAAGTCTAACAAGTTTGTTTTTTTGAGATTACGTTCTGGTTTGATTGCTTCAATCACACAATTCTTAAAAAAACATTCAGGAGAATCTTGTTTGAGAGATAAAAATGAGGCAAGCAAAATTTCTCCAACATCGTTTAGTCTGTGTTCAAATAATTGGAAAATGTCAAAGATAAGAGTGTAAGTCAGTTTAAATCCAATCTCAATAAATTCGGAGAGACGTTCATTGACTTTTTTTACATCCGGACGAACCCATTCACTAGTAGGCATAGGTGGGTAAAGAATTAAAATTGCTCCCTGCAGGACGAGATCATTCATATCTTCACATATATCAGAATAACCTATATCGATCCACATGTTAACTAACTCTTTGTGAATCAAAATCGCTCGAGCAATTACATTTAATTGTCTACTATTCTCATAACCGTCTTTTGGAGGGTACTCTTCAGGGAGGTTTGTTTGCTTGACTGCAGGCCTTGGAGGAAATGGTAGGAATTTGTGCTGAAAGATCAGTGTTTTGATTAAATCAATATTTTTCATCAATATATTCTGAGCGTTCGTAATAATATGAGGACCAGCAGAATAGAAGTGGAAAAGTTCTAAATCATTTCCTTTTAAGACAAGTCCCTCTTCATTAAACCGTTTTGAAGCTTCGGTGACTAAGTAAGTGAAGACTGGAATAGGTAAGTCGCTTCCCCAAGGAACATTATTTTTTTGTTGAAGACGCTGGATTCGTTCTGCATCAGTTTGACTCATGTGTTTTATCTTAAGTTCTATGAGCTGATGATCATAACGACCAAAATGCATGCATAGTCGTTGCGTAAAATAACGAGAAAATATACCACCCTTGGCGAGTATGGACTGAACGACAGAAATATTTATAAAACTTGGACCAAGTCTAACGGCGTGAAAAAGTGAATGTGCACGTCCGAATTGATAAAGGATCCATTCAGCTTTAGCTTGTGAGTCATTAGCAATGCTATTCCAACCTTTACATGTTAATGATAAATTTTTTGGATATAGTATAAATCTGAAAATGTTGATTTTTATCTCATCTACTAGAGAGTTCAGAGATGGAATATGATTATAACCGTTGTAACTAAAATTTTCGTTATGTGAAGGAGATTTGTGAACATAGCCAATTTCAGTTTCCTGAAATAGGCTATGTAAAAGGTAGGAAATAGCTGAGCTTGGAATCTTCAAAGCAAAATCATTATTACTTGCTATTTCTTTCGACCTGTCACGTTTCCCTGTCGGCTCCGTTTCTAATGGGTTTCTTATATTTGGATTCCTTATAGGTATCTGTATAAACCATGTCTTTTTAGATTCAAAATTTCCATTTTCAGATTTGTCATTTTCGAAAATTTCATCAAAATATAAAAGACCACCCAAAATAACTCCATTTTGACCATTTATAAAGTAATTAAAATGCTTCTCGACTTTTTGTTTTTCTTCAAGGATTTTATCAGTTAATTGTCGGATTGGATCTCCGAAATCTACAAACTCTTCATAGTGCCTTGTTATTTCTTGAGTCTTATTCTCATTAATTTTTTTACCAGTTTTAACATATCCAGTGAATTTTATCACTGTAGGACTTTTTTCACCCTTATTTCCAATAAAGGTTTTCCGACTAACATTGTTTTGTTTACAATATAGTTCAATTGTATCATTTGCCTTTTCAGGCGTTATATATGGATCACTAGGTCCATAATATATTGGATCAACCGCTTTTCTCGATTTTTCATTAAAGATATTTCCATATAAATTCCATGGACGTGTTTCTTTATCATTCACTAATAATTTTCCATTTGTATCAATCATGCACCAATGAAGAATTACTTTTTCATGAAGATTTTGTACTGAATTGCTTTCAATGGTATTTTTTACTTTTAATACAACGGTATTGCTTGACCAGCATTTGATGTTAATGTTGTAAGGTGAAATGCTCTTCTGTTGCTTAGGCACAAATGAAGTTACAAGAACAGAATCTGTATATATTCCTTCAGTCTTCAAACATACATTAGTTGGAATACCACTGGTTTCAAGCTTTCCAACTTTTATGTCAATGTAATTATTCGCACAATATCCTTCTGACTTAGCAAGCACAAACCACAGTACTTTTGTTGTATCCTTATTTAATCTTTTAAGAAAAATAAATGATCAATTATTAAATACAATAAAAAAAAAAAAAAATTTAAAATGAAAACTTTATCATACCTTATATTATTACTTTTATGAATTAGCGCAACACATTTGTGTTGATCTGTATGATCAAATGCAACCATTGCTTCTTGAACCCTCTCCCATGATTTATACTTATTCTTTTTTATAACACTTCCATAAATTTGATAATTATTATCAGTCAGTGGTTTTGGAAATTCGATGATTAATTCAGATTGATTATCCTGTGTTAGTGAATTTTCTCCATTAAAAACAATATGGTAATTATTATCATTAAGATCTACTTTATAAATTTGCCTCCAATCTTCCAAAGAAATAATTTTCCAATTGTCAGGGTTATCTTTAAGAGAACTGTACCAATAACCAATTTGATTTTGCTTAATAGCTTCTTGTTCATTACTGAAAAATAATGAAGTATCAATATTATATTTTCCACTCAAGTTTGTTAAAAAATCCTCAAATTTTTCTTGAAAGCAAAAATCATTTTCTTCAAAGTCAATTTGCTGTGAATTGACAACATCTATAGTGTTATGATTTTGTTCATATGATCTTGATAGAATCCCACCAATAATGAGAGTTTCTGGTAATAAATTTCTGTAATGATTTTTAAATACTTCAGAAAGACTCTCATATGTTTGAAAACTTTCAGAAGATTTATCTGCTGCATCTAAAAATGGTTCTGAAAGTATAATACTTGATAAATCAAAGGAGATTTCCGCTACAGAGAATTTAATTTGACACAAAATTTTCTTTAAGTGGGGATTATTAGAATGTTGAGAATCTTCTAAAGGATCGCATAATAACGAAAAATAATCATCAGGAGTTTCATTAAAGTTTAGCTGGTCCGTTTTTTTCACTGCTACATTATTCTCTAATAAATAAGCCATTTTATTGGTTTGAGGTTGTGCCAATAAAACGCTAATTTTATTTATTGGAGTGATCTTTGGCTCTTTTAAAAACTTAAACGCAATCTTTTGTTCACGTCCTAATTCTGAACTTTGTACAAACGTATTATATCGCAAAGAAAATTCACTAACCCAATCATATGCATGGAATAATAATGAGGGTTTTGATAATGATAACCATTCTGAAAAACTTTTCTGCTCAACCTCGGATGGAAGTTGTGGAATTAACACCGGAAGAGTTTTATTGATAGATAGCAAGGAAAAGCATTCAACTATCTGCTTTTTAAAGCTATCACTTAATAATTCATAAGACGGTTTATAGTCCTCATATGATATAAGTTCGGCTTCTTTATAGTCATATAAATCTTTTAACCAAGAATATAGATCCTTAACAGTTTTCATAGATCTTGGTGGTGAAGTCCTGAAGGGGGGAAACCCATCAAGCGATTCGTCTTCAAAAATTGATGGCATTTTCCCTTTTGCAAATTCTATTCCCCATCTTAGATACGCTTGTAAGCGTGAAAGATTTTTAGCATTGATATTTGAACAGTCAATAATTATTGCACCTCCAATAGTGACTTTTGTGATGATATAATCGCCATATTTATCAAATTTCTCTCTTAATTTCCTTCTTTTTTCATTAACATCCAATATATTAAGTGCTTCTTCAATTTTTTGAACAAATTCTTTATTCAAACCGCAATAATGCTCTACCGTGCCAATTGGGATATTAATTCTTATAATTTCTACATCAGAAAAAGGGGTTTCACTGTCGGAACGTGACAGAACACCAAAATCATTTAATATTTTCCAGTTTCCTTTTGCGAGATATACAATTGGATTAAAATTATCTATTTTATTTAATTTTAATTCTCCATTGTTATCTAAAATATGTTTCTTCCCGATAATAAAATCATTCCTATCACGAATCCTGCCTTTATTTAAGCTAAAACGATTGACGAATTGTACTTTTTTCATCATTTGACCTTCAAAATCATCGAAATCCAAAATACAATCTTTAACTATCACAGTTTCATTAATATTTGCTGGTAAATCAACATCCATGAATAAATCATCATTAATGCTATTATCATAGGATATATTTTTTAACTCTTCAAGGATTTCAGAACAACTTGGTCTTTTATCTGCATATAACCATTATGTCTAGCGTTAGCATAAGTGTATATATAAATTGAATTATAAAAAATAGTATAGTAACAAACCTGAATTTATATCCCAACACTTTTCATAAAGATCAATATATTTGAGAGGAGTTCCTTTTATAGGCAATTCCCTAGCGCAATTAATTATTTCAACTGCCAATTTTATACCATCAAACTTTTTATAAAATGGTTCAACACCATTACTGGATATTTCCCACATTAAAACACCAAGGCTATAAATGTTTAATTTTGTTTTATCGATTGTATTGTATACACTCAAATATTGAGGAGGTGTGTATGGAGTAAACGGAAGACCATTAGTGGTATGAAATTTAGATATTCCAATATGGGTTATTTTTGGAGTTAAATTATGCATCAATATATTCTTCGGATGCTAAAAAAAAAGGATTATTTAATGAAATTTCAGTATCAAGGTATTCATAGATGACAAATAAATACGTATTATGTACCAGCTCCGGATGAATAATTCCATTATCGTGAAGAAATTTTAGACCTTTAGTCACTTGGTACGCCAATGATAGTTTGTCGTCCCATGAAAGTGAATTATTTTTCCTAAGAAAATCCCGTATGTTCCCGTTATTTGCGTATTCGTGGATGATATAATAATTATTATTTTCTATATCATATTATAATATTTATGATTAATTCAATTATTTATTGTGACGGATTAAAATGAAATATTGTACAATGTAAAAGGTAGACAAGCCACCGAAAAATGAAAATTCTTTGAGGTGCATTTTTTAGGGGTTAGGATAAGAGGTTAGTTTTAGTGAATAGTTTATAATAAACAAGTATGAGTGGGGTTTAGAGGGTTAAATAGAAACCCTCATTTCATTTTAATCCTATTTCATTACGATCTGCGACATTTATTGCATTTTACTTGACTGATACACTCACCGTGTGTAAGGCCATAAACCTTAAGAATATTTTCGTGTTCAAATTGTCTGAGCTATAATAAGTATTGGTTGTTTTATTTTAATTATTATAATAGATATATAGTAATTTTTTTTTTTTTTTAGGAATACAAATACATATATACCTCTATTTGTAATTTTGCAACATCGGTACTATCATTTCGCAAGAGAGTCCTCACCGTTTGAGCGTTCGGCAGCGTTTTGAGATTTTCATTCTCTATTATGGTTATCTTCTTGCAAGCATATAACTTCTGGACACAGCTATACGCTGAGCAATCATTTGTCGAGTGCATAGTCTTTTTGAATAAAATGTAAGCTTCAACATTAGTAAGTGAGGTTTCAATCGAAATGAAATGAATTATAAAGTAATAAAAGTTGTACCACATAAAACAATCAATACTACCACAATAATAAAAATGTAAACAATTTGATAAGCAAATCAAATTGTTTGTATTATCACGTTTGCGTATTGCATTTTCTATTTTTAACAGAAACCGAATGTAATCGATTTTGAATCACAATCAATTTTTGAAAGTTCATTCTGAAGTGTAACGTTAGAATGTATATAATAACCTTTTAATAACTTAATCTTAAAAGAGATAATTCATTTATTTTTACAAAATGAAACAAAACCAGGAAAATATGTGAAATCCTATTAGACAACTTAAATTATAGAAAAGATTAAATAAATTAGTCTATTTGGCAGTGCGTAGAAGTCTTTATTCTATGCAAACATAATTTTTAGTTGGTGTGGCAACAATTTAAAAAGTTTAATGATCATGTTATTGTAAAGCTATGATAATGTCGAAAGTTTTGTACAAAGATAATTTTCTTTCAAACAGTACTTAATGGAGTAATCCAGAGTACTAATACAGATTAAACTTAATGGTTTGCCGGAGATTTCACTCCAGATTAAACTTTATTTTATATTTACAAATATATTGATAATATATAATAGCTCATATTTGATACCTAGAACAACTTTGTTTAAATGTCAAAGTTTTACTAGAGTCTAAATATTTAAGTGCAAAGTAAAATAAGGTTTTATTTTCTCATAAAAATTTAATATTCTATTAGCAACATGAAGGCAGCGTTATACTCTAATTAATAAGGTATTATATATGTATATTTAAGATTTAAATAACATTACTAATAAATCAGTTGTTCAAAACGTTAAATTAACCAAATATAACCTTACGTAGTTAGATTTATTTTATCAAGTGAATCGAAAAATTTATGGCATTGTTATCATTCATGCTGATACAGCCTAAATACTTATTTTGTCAAGAACCTAAGATCTCTTGGATGATCTTATGATCAAATAAACCAGTTAGACCAGACCAACTCGATTTTTTGTTTAACATAGGATAAATTTAACGGGTTCATATAGAATTTAAAATAAGGTTAATTAAATTCAGTGTTGGCATTTGGACTACGTCCATCCATGTCTGTATCTTTACCGAAAGTTTCAATCTTGCTCTTTCTATTCGGAATATTTCGGAACAGTAAACTCACGTATTTGATATGGACTAAGTGCCTTATGTAATAAAAAAATATGGACGATGTGGGCATATTCTATAAACGCCCATGTCCATATTTTGCAAACACTGATTAAATTATAATGCAGTCAGACCTCATCATATAAGACAAACTTTCAACAAAATGCATTCAGAGAAAATAAGAGAAAGTGTATTTATATAATTCAAATATATGGGCTAGAATTTGAATGTGAATTTAGAGAGATTGTGCACTTAGAAGGGTACATTTAGAGAAGCATTGTGGCAGATTATTGACTTAGTACAGTAGTAAATTGAATTAATGCACATTGCACAATATGCAACGCAGTTACCAAAAGATATCATATGCGACGCGATTTTAGCTGCATAATCTTCGACTGATTCGGGTAAAATAAAAATCAAGATTTTTCCTTTCTGGCATTATTAATTTTAATACAGTAAGTCAAACTTTTTAGTTTACTGATACACATTTATATTATCGATATGTGTATGGATACGAAAGTATATATATATATGAGTGTCGCCAAGTAAAAACCAGGAAGTCTAAAAATAAATTACGTATATACTGTAAAATGAATCTTATTCTATATTTAAATTTAGACTTAGTTTTCATTTGGCAACACCTATATATACACTGTATTAATACGTATTAATGTTTAATTTAAGGCTTAACAAAATAGTTAACTCTTGATATAGAGAATAAGTTCGGTAAAAAGAATTTACTCAATAATCAAATATCTATTTATATAATTTATATAAAATATATTAAGACATCAAAAGATTAAAATTAAGTCTACGATAATAATATATACACTATATATATAATTATATATTTAGTTGTTTGATAAAAATACTACCATGTAAAGTTTGGAAACGGCTTTAATTATTCATATGTTAAAGTTGGTTTTAATCGGTTCTATAATCCTGTATAAGAAACCGATTCCGTGCATACGTACTGTACGTACGGTACGTCTAGATCAATTCACAACCTTTACAAAACAAATTAATTTCTTTTATATATTTTAATTATTTCCTATTTTTTATCAATTTGACCTGTTACAAATAATTCATGTTATATTTTAATAAGAATAAGAAAGATAGATAGTTATCCTTAAACATTGTTGATTAAATATTTATTTAGATAACGATAAGATTAATTATATTTGTATAGTATCAAAAACATCAAAACGCTCTTTTGGAGTTTTGTACAATTGATTTAAAAATACATTGTGCGGTAAAAAAGATTATCTAGTTACATCGTGTTGTGCAAAATTTTATTTGACTACACAAAATTTAATATTTGTTTAAATGTACTATACACATGCTAAAGTTATCTAAATTAAAATTTTGAAACTTTTAATCAAATAATTGTAAATAAACATTTGCTATATTCATCATATGAGTGCGTGAGAGTGAAAACCAGGTAATAAAATTTAACCAATCATAAGTTTTATTTCCTACTCTCACGCACTCATATCATGTTATTAAAAATTTAGATAATCTAGATAACGAATTGCTCTCATATATATTATTTTTATGCTTATTATCAGTACATTTTGCAAAATTTGAAAATTGCTATTCATCTATTATAAAACGCGACTATGGTGGATTTGCACCTATTATATGCTTTTATATATTTACGTTATTAAGTTTTGTGTATAAAATTTAGCACAAATTTTTCATGTTGGGGTTAGTATTTAGTTTAGAATTAAGGTTTGGGAAGGTTTTAAAAGTTTTTTGGGTGTAGAGTATTTTTACTTAGAGCATTGCGTACTAATTAATTATCCAGTTTTTTAAAAATAATGCAACGTAGGTGGCAAACTTCATAGGTGCGTATTGGTAAAAGTGTATTTATTTATTTATTATATTTATTTATTTGTTTATTATTTATTTTAAATTTAAGGTTGAAAACTTATTCGGTTTGATATAATGTACAAGTCATGTGGGCATCGGGATATGTCAGAAAATGTAGACAATATGTTAGAGAGTTAGAGAACATACTGGGATATAAAAATTAGATATAATCTTTAAGACTTTGATAAATTTTTATCCTTTTAAAAATGATAAAATAACATGTACTCAAATTAGAGTGGTACTAAATCGAATATAAGGCTATGTAAACCAATTTGGGAGCAACAAGAGCGAAA